AAACTTCACTGCACCTACTTTCAAATCAAAGATATTCCCTTAACAGTAATTTTTAACTCAGCCAATACAAAAAGTAACGGTTTGACTACAAATTTTTTGAAAATGTCAAAACTACCATTCCTAATGTATATATACTAAAATGCTCTCAATCCTTTTTCCATTATATATATCATACCTTTTGTTGTTTGTAAAGATCCAAAACAATTTGGGATCGCTGGAAGACGTAGGGGACTAAAGTCAATCATTATTCTGTAACTCGTTCTCCACAGTGATTCATCACTACCTAAGTTGATAAAAAAAAATATTTTTTTTTCTTACAGATTTGTAAATGTTTTTCATGCAGATTTTTTAAAATTTTTTCATGCAGATATTTTTAATTTTTTTAATGCAATTTTTTTAATTTTTTTTCCATGCAAATAGTTTTAATTTTTTTCATGCAAATTTTTTAAACTTTTTTACATCCAAAACACTCGTTAGACTTTTAAGTCATTAAGTCCATTTTCTTATAAGTTGTTGGATAAGAGATACACTTTTCGGTTTCTTATTTTTTTATATTACCTAAGTTCTCTCTGTGGTATATTTTTTTGTTGTTTATTATAAATTGCAGGGTTTTAAATTTATTTTATATTTAAAAATAATTTTTCTATAATAAAATTACAATCAATAAATTTAATGTCAAAATTCCATCAATTTCTAACTTCTCTATTATCGTCTGTCATATCTGACCACTCTTCATATATTACCCTTCATATGTAAAATTTAAATATTATTTGATAAAATTTAATATTAATTAAATAAATTTGGTCTTAATATGATAAATTTAAATATTAATTTAGTTTTAATTTGATAAAATTAAATATTAATTTAGCGTTGATTTGATAAAATTTAATGTTAATTGAATAAATTTAAATGTTACTTTAATGAAATTGAATGTTTATTTGGTGTTAAATTAAATAACTGACATTGATTTGATAAGGTTAAATGTTAAATTAATAGAATTTAATATTCTATTTAATATTTTAATTTTAATTTAATAAAATTAAATAATAATTTAATGTTAAATTAAAGAAATAATTTTAATTTGATGAAATAAATTATTAAATTAATATAACTACATGCAAATTTGATAAAATTAAATATGAATTTATGTAGATTTGATGAAATGAAATGTTAATTTAGTTTAAATTAAATAAATGACATTAATTTAATAAAATTAAATAATAAATTGATGAATCTAAAAGTTAATATAATAGAACTAAAAGTGAGTGTATTGAAATTTCAGAACTATGAGGGGATATTGTTAAAGATACGTCTATTTATAGGGGATATCATTGAAGTTATGTCTATTTACAAGAGGGTGTGGATAAAATTTATCCTATAAAATATTCAGGGCTATTTTTATAAATTAATAGTTGTCGTTAACGCCGTAATCCGACAAACACCGACAGGAGTGACAGTGAAGTTTCAAAATTAAGAAAGGGTGTCGTTAGGGATGTCAATGAACCGAAACGGAGGCGGGGGTATAATCTTCGTCCCCGTACCCGCTTAAAAAATCTTCGTCCACCCCCGTTAACGGGTATAATTTTCATCTCCATTCTCCCGTCCTCGTCCCCGCTTCCCCGTACTCTCCTAAGCCCAAGCCCAAGCCCAATACAACATAATCTAAAATTTTAAATAAATTCAATATTTTAAATAATCTTATCAAAATTCTAAATAATCTAACATAATCTAACACAACATATCGCAAGACAATCTAGCAATTAAATAGCTCAAGAATACAATTAAGTTAAATGGATGACATTATAGCAGATTGAAATAGCAAAACAACCCAGAAAAATAGCACCAGAAGCAGCCCCAGAATACCACTAAAATAGCCCCAAAACAGCACCAAAATAGCCCCCAAAACAGCACCAAAAATAGCATAGAACACAGCCCCAGAAACACCACCAAAACGCACATTGAACCAACCCAATTGAACACAAAGAGACATAATAAAAAAGCCCCAAGTTCAATAATGAAATGTAAATCAAAGATATAAATTTCTTAGCACATTAAACATTTTACACAAGAAAGGCACCTTGTGCCAAATTACAGAGAACAAGCAAGCAAAATACTCAGAACCACAAAAAAACAATATAATTACCATAATGGAGCAATTCTAACTTCGCTGAAAACAATTTTTAAGTCACAGAGAGAGAGAGAGAGAGAGTACAATCTGGTAGGAACTGGCCATTCTAATTTATCAATCTTCGTTAATATTTTGTTCAATTTTCCATAAAATAGTTAGATTTCTACACAATAAAAATTTTACCCAATATTCTAAAAAAATTATACAGAAGATCAACATTGAGAAACATTTAACTCTATAATCATACACAAACGATCAACATGCAGATAGCAGTATGCCAGTGGCTGCCTTTAGCAGATCAAATAGCCACTGTGCGTGGCTAATGCAGTAAGGGTTTAGAGATGAAGAGGAGACTTGAGTGTTTTAGATCTCGTGTCTAATTGTCGTATAGATAGAAAATGGACTGAGAAGAGAAGAGAAGCGAAAAGAATGTACCTTGACTGAAGAATCCACAATGGAGGATCGGGCTCTGTAAATTGCCACAAAAGACGGCCGGCGATGATTCGGCTAGTGGTGGCTAAGGCTCGAGGTGGTCCGATGTCGGCTTGTGGTTGCTTTGCGGTGGGCGGCGGTAGAGCTGAGACGATAGAGGAGAGAAGGGAGTCGAGGTGTGGCGGTTGCCAGATAGTTTGAGGAGTGTGGCTCGGGATCGACTGAGGGAAGCATAGAGAGGTGAGAGAAGCAGCAAGGTAGGCGTATGGTTTTAATTGGGAGTTTATTTATGTATATATATATTTAATAGAGAACCGGGACGGAACGGGACAGAGATAAGGATAATTTGATTACCGTCTTCATTTTCGCATATGTTTATATAGGTATTTTGTACGTGTCTACCATACAATACATATAGTTCATCTTCGATACTCGTTTTTTTCGAGTTCACTACCATCCCTAAGTGTCATTAAATTTAGACCTAATTACGTAGAGCGGAGATAAAATTTTCCCAATGAAAAAATATGGCAAAGGCAAAAATGGTTTAGGGTACTGGATAAAGAACTCAATTCATTTCGGCATAATCAATGACTCGGGGCAATTAATTTTGAGTAAAATCACCCAAAAAATGTATAAAATGATTCAGATCTTGTCCATTATACCTTTCTTTCAATACAATGTTAGATGAGTGACACGTGTAAGATTTTAAATTGTAATTGATAAGATTTTGTTTTATGAGAAAATTTCTTAATAATGAGAAAAATTCTTTAATAATGGTTAACACTCCATCAACAACAAAAATGAATGAGGAAACATCTTATCTATTGAAATTTAATATTTTACACGTGTCATTCATCTAATATTATATTGAAAAAAATTAAAAAAAAAAGGGGGTAACGGATGAGATCTAAATCCTGCTTCATGGGACATAGTTGTTTAATCTCTCCCCGAGATCTACGCCTTTTATGATTGAGGGCCAACTCATTTTGAGCAGATCCAGTAGCAATAATTTCGGGTCAACCCACCAAAAATTCATATAAAACAACTAGAAAATATTTTAAGTGGCCTAGGTAGCACCAGATAAAGAATTCATGTAACACATGAAGTTTGACTCCCGCAACACTTGCGAGCAGGAATGATATGTTCACATTAACAAACAGATCGAGTTAAGCAGGTCTTGGGGCATCCCACATTAAACAACAAAAGTCGTCATCACTTACTAGGGAGAAATTTGCAGTCTTAATTTACTGTGCAACAAGTGCCAGTGATTTGTGTTAAAGATTGGCAGAGTTTGACAAGAAAAGTTAATAAAATACGAAGTTGATATAAAATTGGTGAGTTATAATTGACTATATGTATCTCACGCCTTCTCATTTACGTCTATTGCTTCTCTTTTACGGTTGAAGGCCAACCAATTTTGAGCAGATTCAATGATCAAGACAGCAATAATTTTGAGTCAAGTCACAAAAACACTATACAAAACAATCTAGCAAATGAAAAAATATGCCCAGTAACTTACAATACTAGATAAAGTACGATTTTTGGTACAAAAAATACGATTAGAATTAACTATTTTTCGACACCGACTTGATTTGATCTGAAAACACATATAACAAACAGGCTTGGATTAGTGTAAACACAAATTATACTATTTTGACACCACAGTCCCATTTAATATATAGTTATTGTATAAGGAAAATGTTTAATTTTTTATTTCTTTATTGGATATTGTATGAATAATTGTAGCATTAGTTTTTTTTTTTCAAGTTAATTTTAATACCATAAAGATGAAATGGGTTTTTCATAGGGGTGTATGTGTGGCTGGCTTGGTTGACAGTGAAAGAAGCCTTAGTTTTGTTGGTTCATGGCAACACCTTTCTTGAACAAGTCATCTTGATCTGCACCAAGTTTACCTTTATTTAGTTGTCTATTCTACCTGTGTCAAACAATGCCAGAAATTGAGTCAAGCAGCAATCAGGGCAGGGTTGGGAAAGGGATCATTCAATCAGGAGGAAACAGTAATGTGATCCTTCCTGCAACGGTACCTCAGGTACAGGCTGAAATCGAAGATGCTGATAAGTGGATAATCTCGGTGATGGAAGACGGTGGCCGTAAGAGCGGAGCCATTCGATCCAAACAAAAAAAGTTACAGAAGGTTGTACAAGAACTAAGAAATAACAAGGAGCTCGAAGGATGTTTTGATCCAAGAGTTGTTTCGATTGGCCCCTATCACCGAGGCAAGCCTGAGCTCGAAGATGCGGAGGAGTTGAGGACTACGTTAGCATTCAACTTCATTCCAAAAGAGTTCTATAACAAATTCTTAGAGTTGGTTGGGGCTACTACCTTGATGGCTCAACACATGACTATGATGATGACGCATTTGCCCATATGATGTTCCTTGATGGTTGTTTTATACTGCATATTATTGACACTGTAGTAAATGAAAAACGTGAGGCTGTATACATATTGTATCGCATCTTGGGGCCAGGAAGAGCAACTATGTTATTCTCGGACTTGATCTTGCTGGAGAACCAACTTCCATTCCAAGTTATCCAGGCCTTAATGAGCATTAGATACAAAGAAGATGAAGGAGAAAATATGATCAACAGTTTTGTCGAAAAAATGTATGCAACAACCAGTAAGAGACAGGGGCGGCAAGATGAGCAGCCCATTCACCTCTTAGGACCCGTGCGAGAAAAACGTATTCCCCGCAACCGCAAGAAGGAATATGGGAAAGGCCGAAATGCGCCTGATATGGTCATTCGTCACTCCTTCGGTTCAGCAACAGAACTTAAAGCAAAAGGAATACATTTCAAGTCTAGCAGTACATGTTATCTAACAGACATCAGCTTCACTTCGTCCTTTGGCTATGGACAGTTGACACTTCCTCCAATTGTATCTGGCGGGACCTCCCAGTCCCTGTTATTGAACATGATTGCATAGGAAATGGCTCCTAACACATACTTGTTGAACAATCTAAAAAAATACAAGAGATAAGNTAAACAAGACAAGGAAAGTAAAAGATTATTCTATCTTTAATAAACAAAATAATCTTATATTTTTTAACAATACTAACCTTGAGGTTAGCAAGTATATTTATTTCATGAATTTACTCATTGGTAGAGCCGACGACGTAATTGAGCTGCGATCTNCTTTTTGCTTACAGAAACTACACTTGTCGAAGGCAGGTCTTGTGCAAGGCTTATTCTGATTATGAGAGAATGATTTAGAAGGTACTGCTAGCATAGAATGATCAGAAGTAGAAAGAATTCTCTTATCAGAATAAGACTTAAGACGTATCTCTTCAGCAAACAACTCACTAACAACTGAGTCACCAAAAGAAAGTGGAGAACGATGCAAAATTGAACCTCTTAGTCCTTCAAAATCACTACGAAGTGTCATTAAAAATTGTACCAACTGTTGTTGCTCTCTACGNAAGGTGCTTATTTGAGACCATATAACGCTTTCTTGAGCTTGCAAACATACACAGAATCATGTGAAACACCAGGAGGGGGAGCCATATAAACTTCTTCTTGAAGATCCCCATTCAAGAAGGCATTTTTAACATAAAGTTGAGAGATATGTCACTGACGAACCGAAACAACTGCAATAAGAGTACGATNTTGATCTCAAAGATCTGTCATAGCAGAATAAAACTCTTGAATACTCATATTCTTCTGTTGAAAAGCTCGTATGTCATGCTACAATTGATAATGCTTTGCAAAATTTGATTGAGTGAATAACCTNCGAACCGAAACAACTGCAATAAGAGTACGATAGTAGTCATTTTTGCAACAGGAGCAAATGTCTCCTCATAATCCATATCATACTGTTGAGAGTACCATTTTGTAACCAACCTAGCTTTGTATCGCTCAACAGATCCATCAGAATTGGTCTTAATTTTATACACCTACCGACAATCAACAACACTCTTACCAGGAGGTAGAGGAACCAAGTTTACAACCACTACAATCAGAAATATCACAAGTTTTCAAATTTCCTAAAGCCCCTGTGGATGCCAAAAANGAACAAATACCAGATTACAAAAAAATGGAACAAATACCAGATTGCTTAAACCAAACAAATACCTTCTCAAACTGTGTTTGAGATTAAGTCTTGTCCCATAAACCTTTGTTCTGATACCATGTTGAACAATCTAAAGAAATACAAGAGATAAGAAAAATAGGAGGTTAGAGTTTTATTGATACTGCATAATTGAATTGAAATACAATGAACTAACTTAACCTAAATACAAAAAGACTATATATAAGCTAAACAAGACAGAGAAAGTAAAAGACTATTCTATCTTTAATAAACAAAATAATTCTATATTTTTTAACAATACTNCAGAATCGCATAACTGACCAACAGAAGCAAAATTTAATGTGAGTTTTAGAATATGATAAACATTAGAGAGAGACAAGTGAGGTGTGACAACAGAACCAACACCTGCTAAAGGCATAGGAGTGTCATCAGCAATCATAACAAGAATAGAAGGTGAAGGAAATACAAAAGCAAAAGATGAAGAATTTGGAGACATATGATGTGAGGCACCAGAATCCAAGACCCATATAGAATGTGACATACCTGGAGAACTATGAGGCAACTGACCTCCTGAAGAAGAAGCAGACATAGCTTGTAGCTGTAAGGAGAGAAACTTCTGAAATTGCTCAGTCAAGGTATTGAAATCGGTGAAAGAACTTGATGAAACTACTGCTGCAGTATTAGACTGTGATGGTTTGTAACCCTGAGGTGGTCTATGAGTATTAGATTGTGACTGGTTGCCAGACTTTCAAGCTTGAGANGAGAGCACTTCACTAGCAAGGCAAAAACTTGGATGGCTCTACTCCTACATGATCATTTTCGGTTCTCCGTGGACTACTGTGGCTTTTTTAGCCGCAATGTTTCTTATTATCTTAACCTTCACGCAAACCTACTTCTCTCAATGTACAAACCAAAAGTAAAGATGAGTTTCATTGTCTCTTCTACATTATTACGTCGAAACAAATAAATTATACGGACATAAGGATGTTTGTTCTATGCACCCAACATGCCATGTTTCTCCTTAAATAAGTTGTATGTGTGTAAAAGGTTTTCGGCTGTGGGATTCTCTTGGATTTTAGTGGCATCCATTCCCGGTCAATCATGTGTGTTTTTTCACAAGCAATTATGTTGCTACATGGTGTTGTATTTCGTTTATAGTTTCTGGCTCACATCTTGTAATGAAGATTGAACAAATAATGTGATGTTTATATTAGAAGCAGCAGTTCATGAGTGTACCAGATTTTCTGGGATGATCTGGATTTATGTACCAATTATGATATTTATCCTTTAATTTTCTCGATATTTCATCAAATTGTAAAAAGAATAAAATCACACTCTAGTTGTTGGATCATAAGAAACAAATCCTTTGATACCACGTAGAGGAGAAGCCCAATTTTCCCTGCTATCGAGTTGTTCTATTTTTTGATAATTGAACTTAAATATTAAAAATGAAGTAAAATACTTTGAGTAGTGATCGAAACATGTACCCCGTCTCACTTTAATCTTTTAATTTCTCATTATCACTTTAATTCTAGAGCATGCAAGTTATTTACGTCAATCTCTTAATTTTCACCTAACTGCACGAAGAAACAGAGCTATGTGTTGTTTTATGGGCGACACTTGACCACTTTTATCTATTATATTATTTTGATCAATGTTGGATATTATACCATTTAAATACAAAAAAATAAATGGACCATTTACAAAGGTCTCAAAGTGTCTCAAATCTCTCCCTCTTTGCAATGTTTTGACAAAATAATTTTAATTTTTTTTTAATTTTTTCATTCTATTTTAAAAACGGATCGAAACACATCAAATTTTTTTTATTTTTTAAATAATTAAAATAATGTGTCAAAATAAAATTTTTATCCCCGATGAAAATCATTTTAAGTTTTCAAATACTTATTAGTGTCGGTAGACCAAGTACTTCCAAGGTTGTAGATTTAAGAAATATCTCAGAAGAAAGGATAAGCTATCAACGATAGTGGTGTGATAAACTCCACTGGGGTAGACTGGTACAAATGTAAATTAATAGAGATGTCCTTTTCAACAATTTTGACAGCCAATAATTCCATACCGACGACGGCTACCACCGCAACACTCTCATCTCCCGCACCACAGCAAAAATGAATGTACAATAATTTAGATATTATATAAATATATTAATCGTAATTCATGCACGATAAAATATAAATTTGAGCGTCTAAAAAATCGATTCCATTATATTAATTTTTTTAAAAATATATTAATTATAAATTAATCAAATATTAAATAATTAAATATATGATATAAATGTGTGATGTTATATTTTTAGGGAAGAAATATATAAATGATTAAACATATGATAAAAATAAGTGATGCAATTTGACGTTTGAATCTGACAAAGGGATGATGAGTGAGATAAGTGATTGGTGATAATTTTGAGAAAAAAAATATGACTGAAATAAAATTCAAACACACTCCTGTGTTTATTTTATATATATATGTGGGACATTTCCAAATACTCCTAGATGAAGACACGTGTCCTTGGCATCAGTAAATTCTTGTTACTGTAATCACGACACGTTCCCGTCGAATCACAAGTCCCTATTCTCCCGAGGTACTGTTCATGGGGATCAATGACACCCAGTACGTTACGTACCGACACGTATCCCTCGGTCGGATATGGGTTCATCGGTCCCTACATGTACCACTCCCCTCGGTACCGAGATGTACCCGTCCAGGATGATGTTCTCTGCTCCTGCAGAGGCTATTGATGTACAGGTCACTAGCTTAGGCTAGACTAAGTTAGTCATCATGATCTCGTCTTACACAATTGGTGTCAAAAGGCATAAGAAGGCAGAAGACACAGTCAATGGGGAATGGGCGCGTGACATATTGTGTCACATCAGAGACAAAAGGACCGGATGCCCTTGCTGACACACGACTTGGAAAAGCAAGCATTTAATTACACCATTCCCTTGATGAGACAGCATTTAATGCGGTAAGGCTTGGAAGTGAAAGTTAATAAATATCTCTAAGACTGGACATTTATTACATCCTTGCCGAGAGGAGCTCATTAAACATTCGGCAGGCCAATGACACAACATTGGTTGCTCGGGATCCGGAGTAGTTAAAAGAGAAGACATTCCTCATAGGAATCAGTGCGCACGTTGTCCGTATCTAATGATCATCTACTGACCACACTGACAGCAATCATGAGTTTTTGAAGTATAAATACTCCTCACAAAATGCAAGACGATATGAAACAAAAAACCTTTTCTCAAATCTATACTCAGTGTTTTCTTCTTCCCCTCTCTCAAAAACTGACTTGATCGTCGGAGAAGATACGCCGAAAAACACTCCGGCGCCCTTCTAACTTGTCTTTCTCTGTTCCAGGAACCTCCCTCAGCATTACTGGACCACTCATTTGATCCACGAAAGTCACCCATTACCGTTCTAGGCCAGCAACGGATCTCAGCCTGTTCCAAATAGCAAGGTTGATCATTTGATTGACTGATTCGAGTTCACCACGAGAGAGATCTGTTCTCGTATTTATATTGTGCAAGATCCTGCACGCACATATATATATATATATATATATATATATAGTAATTTGTTCTATAATTGACAATACAATAACAAGATTCATATTTTTTTGCTAGTCCTCAAAAGAGAGCATATTAGAGTAGATGTTTTTGATATTTAGGACTTGAATATGGTAATATCAAAATTTATTATATTTATGAGTATATTTATGACCGTTGTGCTATCAAAAAAGTGATAAAAATAATAAAAACTTCTACAATAATGATAAAATTACCCACAAAAGTAATAATTTTTTTATACTAAAAAAAAAAAAAAATAGTTATCATAACAGTGATAAAAATACCTATAAAAATTATAAATTTTTTGATTATAAAATGATCTAAAAAAATTATAAAAATACTATTTAAAATAATAAATTTTAAAAGTATGACATCAATTTTTTTTATTGGAACCGTTGTCAAGTCTTGGTATTTATTTGTTGTGACGTGACAAAAACAAAAGCCAAAATGCAAAAATTATTGTGACGTGACATTTATTGTGACGAATTAACGTAGCTAACCCAGGTCCCAGACTGATTGTAGTACTAGTAATAAACATCTACCATGTCTCACAATGCCCAGAAATTGAGATGAGCAGCAATATGCAGGGAGTGGTTGAAATAGAGGCCATTCAATCCACAGGAAGCAATACTGTGCTCCCTCCTCTAATCCAATTATTTTTGAATTCATTGACACATAAACTTATTCGATTACTAAAAGCATCATGTATGACACTTTCCTCTTACTTAATACTCGTTTTCTTTCGATTGTCAATTTTTTTGGTCATAGTGTTTGCGTGCAACATACATTAAATTAATTAGTAATTTTACAACTTTCATTAGGACATAGATAAATCTAAGTTTTGATATAAAAGACAATCCAACGGACTTGGAGTCTATATTAATAATAAACAATGTATGAATAACATTTTCCTCGCTAAACTATAGACTCATTGTACCACTGAAATTAGAGGTTCAAGTTTTGGAGTCTATATTAATTTAGATGATTCACTATTATACTAACCTAAAATTAAAATTCATAATTTAGAAATTATTAGGCACAATTTTATATATACATGCGATTAACGAATAAAATAACTAAAGAGTCTCCTCAATCAAACTTTTCCAACTTTATTAGTTTTTTTTTTTTTAAGAACATTGCAAATGATTCCAAAAACTTTTTAGAAGTTGACTTTTTCATTATTTTTTCAAACATATGTTTCGCACCCAAAAAACCAAACACTAAACAAGACCAATATTGAAAATACATTTATGTNTTTTCATTATTTTTTTTCGCACCCAAAAAACCAAACACTAAACAAGACCAATATTGAAAATACATTTATGTTTAGTTGAGTTACTAGTATTTCTCATCTTTAGATCAAGTTTACATTAGATCAAGGTACGACTCAAAAAGACCAGTTATAATTAAATGAGATTATTTTTAGACTTATAAAATACTTGAAATCAATCCAAATAACCTTATAAAATACTTTAAAATCTCTTCTTTTAGAGTAGCAATCATAGTTGGTCCCTAAAAATCATATTTCATCCAAATTGTAATTTAATAAGACAAAAATTCTTGGATTACAGTGTCAGCGTCATTTGAAAAATATAATTAAAAATTACTCGATTGTTCCATTCCTAATATGGGTTGTTTGATAACAACACTTAAGACATAAAACTGAATACTTTAAGCACTTGATGAATTAAGCCTGTTTGATAACTTATAATTCATACCACTTAATGTTTTGAAACACTTCCTAAAAATAAGCTAAAAATTTAAGTAGCAAATTATCTACTTATCACTTAATGATGAAAATATTAGTTAGTAAGGATTTTATAAATTCCTTATAATGAACAAATATACTCTCGATGCATTTTATATTTTTAACTTTTCAATCCTCACACTGCACCTCCACAACAACCACCATTGTATCGTCGCCACCACCACCATTGTGGCATCACTACCACCACCATTGTTTTTATTACATTTGGGTAAATGATGTACTTTGCACAATAAAATGTAAGCATGTATCTTAAATATTCATGTTTATTGTAGTCATGAAGAAAAAACAGTCCAAGAGATCCATTACCAGTACATATACTCATTTTGCACTTGTGATTCATGTGTCATTTCTAATAAATAACCTTCAAAGTTCTTACACTATCATCATATGATAGGAATGTGGAAAAAAAGAGAGGAAAGAATTTGGCATTCCATCACAACTTGCGGAGTAATACTCCATCCAACATTCTTTTTTTGGATCAATGCTTCATCTAACATTAAAACAAATGAAATCCAGGTAAGACATTGTCACGCAAATAAGATTGACGGACATCTTCTATTACATCTATATGCCAAAATAACAAGAATATCTCTTAAGAATTACTAATCCAAAAGATAGGAAGAAAAAAAAATCCAACATATCCCTTAATCAAGCAAATTATGAATCAAGTTTATCTAAATCGAGCAATTTCCCTTAATGGTCCACCAATTCCACAACCTACATCTGACAACTACAAGGACATCACAAGGATTGAACAACAATATGAAACGACAAACCCAGTGAAAAGTTGAGTCAATAATTGATTTTAGGCCTAGTTGTAAAGCAAGAAGTGCTCATACCGCTTAATGCTCTATCGAACAGACTNATGGGTTGTTTGATAACAACACTTAAGACATAAAACTGAATACTTTAAGCACTTGATGAATTAAGCCTGTTTGATAACTTATAATTCATACCACTTAATGTTTTGAAACACTTCCTAAAAATAAGCTAAAAATTTAAGTAGCAAATTATCTACTTATCACTTAATGATGAAAATATTAGTTAGTAAGGATTTTATAAATTCCTTATAATGAACAAATATACTCTCGATGCATTTTATATTTTTAACTTTTCAATCCTCACACTGCACCTCCACAACAACCACCATTGTATCGTCGCCACCACCACCATTGTGGCATCACTACCACCACCATTGTTTTTATTACATTTGGGTAAATGATGTACTTTGCACAATAAAATGTAAGCATGTATCTTAAATATTCATGTTTATTGTAGTCATGAAGAAAAAACAGTCCAAGAGATCCATTACCAGTACATATACTCATTTTGCACTTGTGATTCATGTGTCATTTCTAATAAATAACCTTCAAAGTTCTTACACTATCATCATATGATAGGAATGTGGAAAAAAAGAGAGGAAAGAATTTGGCATTCCATCACAACTTGCGGAGTAATACTCCATCCAACATTCTTTTTTTGGATCAATGCTTCATCTAACATTAAAACAAATGAAATCCAGGTAAGACATTGTCACGCAAATAAGATTGACGGACATCTTCTATTACATCTATATGCCAAAATAACAAGAATATCTCTTAAGAATTACTAATCCAAAAGATAGGAAGAAAAAAAAATCCAACATATCCCTTAATCAAGCAAATTATGAATCAAGTTTATCTAAATCGAGCAATTTCCCTTAATGGTCCACCAATTCCACAACCTACATCTGACAACTACAAGGACATCACAAGCATTGAACAACAATATGAAACGACAAACCCAGTGAAAAGTTGAGTCAATAATTGATTTCANACATCTGACAACTACAAGGACATCACAAGCATTGAACAACAATATGAAACGACAAACCCAGTGAAAAGTTGAGTCAATAATTGATTTCAGGCCTAGTTGTAAAGCAAGAAGTGCTCATACCGCTTAATGCTCTATCGAACAGACTCTCTTTTCCATGTACAGGTGTAAATATAATGCACCTGGTCAGTAACTTACTAGAAGCTATTGTGGAACACCTAACAATGTATGCCCACATATGACTAAAGAAAAATTGAATGACCGTAAAATTAAATTTGAAGAACAAAATCACAAGAATAACTTTAAATAAGACTATAATAACCTGGGCGCAAAAGGGAATGAATCTCTCCGGCCTTATTCACAGAAGCAGGAGAGAATCATGCCCTTTTTGGCTTAATCGCATGTATATGTAAAATTGTGCCTAATAATTTTTAAAATATGAATTTTAATTTTAGATTAATAGAATGGTGAATCACCTAAACTAATATAGACTCTAAAACATGAACCTTTAATTTCGGTGGTACAAAGAGTCTTTGGTGAGAAAAATGTTATTTATACATTGTTTATTAATCTGAGGCACCAGAACAATTAAATTTATAACTAATCCTAAGGAATATNGAGAAAAATGTTATTTATACATTGTTTATTAATCTGAGGCACCAGAACAATTAAATTTATAACTAATCCTAAGGAATATTAGGGGTCTAGTAGGAAATCACGTGCGTGGATATTTACATGGGTCTCTGACATTTCATTTAAGTGGCGTAGTCCAGGAAAGGACAACAAATGTCGTCCACAAATTCAGAACCAATTGAACACGAAAGTGAGTGGAAAGGTGTACTTTGACTTGAGGCCTCTGGCAATTTTAACACACAAAACCCATCGTTCCCTCGTCTGCTCAACTAAAAACCATCAGTAGGACTAACGTGTTTTAGAAGGTCTTACTCTAACTAACGTTTTTAGATGGTTGCAAAAAAAATGTCAGTTAGTCTTACTTTTTTATGCTAAAAAAGTTATTCCAACGGCAGCTTTTGATTCAAAAACGTCATTTTAATTGATATTTTTAAAATTATTTGAGTTTGAAAAATATTTTTAAAACAACCCACTTTTAGATATATCTTTTAAAAACCTCATGGATTGAGATAAAAGCTTGAGAACATTTACCTTCACTTAGTCTACTCTACCTATGTCAAACAATGCCAGAAATTGAGTCAAGCAGCAATCAGGGCGCGGTTGGGAAAAGGATCATTCAATCAGGAGGAAACAGTGAAGTGATCCTTCCTGCAACGGTGCCTGAGGTACAGGCTGAAATCAACGGTCCTGATGAGTGGATAATCTCGGTAATGAAAGACGGTGACCGTAAGAGCGAAGCCATTCGATTCGAACAGAGAAAGTTACAGAAGGTTATACAAGAACTAAGAAATAAAAAGGAGCTTGAAGGATGTTTTGATTTAAGAGTTGTTTCGATTGGCCCCTATCACCGTGGAAAGCCTGAGCTCGTAGATGCGGAAGAGTTGAACACTATGTTCGCATTCTACTTCATTAAAGAAAGTGGCCTTGATTCCGAAGTGTTCTATAACAAATTCTTAGAGTTGGTTGGGGAAGCTAAGGGCTACTACCTTGATGGCTCAACAGATGACTATGATGATGATGTTCCTTGATGGTTGTTCTATACTGTATTTTATAGACGTTGTAGTAAATGAAAAAACAAAGGGTACACATATGTGGGACATCTTGGGGTCAGGAAGATTATCTATGTTATTCTCGGACTTGATCTTGCTGGAGAACCAACATCCACTCCAAGTTATCCAGGCATTAATGACCATTAGGTACAAAAAAGAAAAAGGAGAAAATATGGTCAACAGTTTTGTCGAAATATGTTATGGTCCTGGAACAACCAGTAAGAGACAGGGACGGCAAGATGAGCAGCCCCTTCACTTCCTAGACTCGTGCGAAGAAAATTTACACCCCACGTGAAGACGGACGATTCAAGGTAATTTGAGGCAAAGTGGTAATATTTTTTTATTTTTAAAATTATTTTTAAAAAATAAAAAATATTTTAAATTTTTTTTAATCGAGAGAGAAGGATGTGATACTTTTTTTTTTTTTTAAGAGAGAGGAAGAATAGATGTGAGTAAATATGAGTTGACTTTTGATTTTTTTTGTATTTGTTTTTAAAAAATTTTATTTTTGAATTTCTAATGTTTTGAATTGAATTGTAGACCCAAATTATTGAAATTATAATTTTTTGATTGAGTTTAAACTTTTTAGGATTTTTTTGTAAGGTCTAAAATTTTCATGAATTTAAATTTTTTATGTGGACTAATTATGTATTTAAAATTATAAGATTTTTAAAAATTTGGACCTAAAACCTATATATTTTTTTTTAATACTGTTGGGCCTGCCATGCACAGGAAGGATTATGGGAAAGACCAAAATGATCCTAATATGGTCGTTCGTCACTCCTTCGGTTCAGCAACAGAACTTAAAGCAAAAGGAATACATTTCAAGTCTAGCGGTACATTTTGTCTAACAGACATCAGCTTCACTTCGTCCTTTGGCTATGGACAGTTGACACTTCCTCCTATGGTACGTAAGGCGCACTCCAAGTTCCTCTTCTTGAACATGATTGCATATGAAATGGCTCCTAACACAGATACTGACCTTGAGGTTAACAGTTACATTTATTTCCTGAATTTACTCAATAGTGGAGCCGACGACGTTATTGAGCTGCGATCTCATAACATAATTTCTAACTCCCGTGATTCCAATGAGGGAGTTGCAAAATTCTTCAACACTATGACTTCTGCTGTCTCACAAGCCAATTTTTTTATCCTTGATGACGTTTGTAATCGAATTGAAGAGCACTTCACTAGCAAGGCAAAAACTTGGATGGCTCAACTCCTGCATGATCATTTCAGTTCTCCGTGGACTACTGTGGCTTTTTTAGCCGCAATGTTTCTTTTTATCTTAACCTTCACCCAAACCTACTTCCAAGTTTTTCCTCGCTCTACAAACCAAAAGTAAACAGGAGTTTCAGATGAGTCTCATTGCCTCTTCTACATTATTATGTCGAAACAAATAAATAATATGGACATATGGGTGTTTGTTCTATACACCCAACATGCCATGTTTCTCCTTAAATAAATTGTATGTATGTAAAAGGTTTGCGGCTGTGGGATTCTCTTAGATTTTAGGGGCATCCATTCCTGGTCAAATATGTGTGTGTTTTTTACAAGCAATTATGTTGCTATAGTGTGTTGTATTTCGTTTATAGTTTCTGGCTCACATCTTGTAATGAAGATTGAACAAATAATGTGATGTTTATATTAGAAGCAGCTGTTCATGAGTGTACCAGATTTTCTGGGGTGATCTGGATTTATGTACCAATTATGATATTTATCCTTCAATTTTCTAGATCCTTCATCAAATTATAAAAAGATTAACATCGCACTCTAGTTGTTGGATCGTGAGAAACAAATCCTTTGATATCGCGTAGAGGAGAAGCCCAATTTTCCTTGCTCTCTGGTTGTTCAATTTTTGATAATTGAGCTTAAATATTAAAAAGAAAGTAAAACACCTNTCGCGTAGAGGAGAAGCCCAATTTTCCTTGCTCTCTGGTTGTTCAATTTTTGATAATTGAGCTTAAATATTAAAAAGAAAGTAAAACACCTTAAGTAGTGATTGAAGTATGTATCCCATCTCACTTTGATTTTTTAATTTCTAATTATCACTTTAATTCTAAAGAATACAAGTTATTTAGTTCAATCTCTCATTTTCACCCAATTGCAGGAAGAAAGAGAACTATGTGTTGTTTTAGGCTCAAAATCGACTAAAATTCAATTTTTATACTTAAAAAAACTGTTTTGGTCCAGCACATGTTAGTGTCATTATCTTCCTCGTCACCTACGTTATTAAGTCACAAAAGTAAATTCTATGGCTTGTCTGCAGGTGCCACCGCAAGGGATCAATTCTATACTCCCAACATGCTATGCTTCATAGTCATCTACGTTATGAGCCGGGGAACACACAAAGGGATCACATTGCATCTCCTTAAATTAAGTGTATGTATAAATGGTTTTCGACTGCAGTTTTCTTAGATTTTAGGGACATCCCAATGAATCGTGTGTATTTTTTTGAGTGTGGTTTTTTTTACCAGCAATTTTGCCTTTCCCTGATAAAATAGGGATTAAAAGTTTGATATGATAGGTTTATGTATGAAAAAAATAAGTTAAATAAGTTTTTGGGTTAGATTATAAATATCCAAACTAGCAGAAAGAAATTAAAAGGGAGTAAACAGCTACATTGAAATCCTGAATAGACTGATTGTATATTTTGGGGTTGCAAGTGTGATTGTTGTTTAAATCATAGGGGTATTAAAGTGTATTTATGGCATTATTACACCAAAGTCGTCGGTTGGTGGAGAAAAAGAAAGGANCATAGGGGTATTAAAGTGTATTTATGGCATTATTACACCAAAGTCGTCGGTTGGTGGAGAAAAAGAAAGGAAAAGAAAGGAGTGGACCGTGCTTAATAATTTATGATTACTGTTTAGGTCACTGTGTAGGCACGATTTGCTCGAAAGAAAAATAAAAATAATAGAGGAGGAGCCCACGTATTTTCATTATTTACTCTCACTATGTATATAACCTCACATATCTAATAATTGTATATGTGATTGTATTGCATCCAAAGTCTGATAACTCTGCTCGCGAATTATTACCGACAAAGTCCGAGCACTTGTAAAAGTACTATATGATATAAGAAACGATTATTCAACAGATTTAAAATATTTAGAATAGTTTTTTTTTTGGGAGGGGATATTTTATTGACTTGATACACACACACTAGGGGTAATCTGTGTCGAAAGACATAGTATGCAATGTGAATGGTTTTAAGAGTGATATTGATAACTATTAGATAAGTCTACTTGAGACTGTCAAATAAACTTATTGAAGTCTATCATATTTTATATTATAACTAGTTATTGTCTGTGTTTGAAGACACAGAGTAACAAAGAATGGTAAACAATAAACATATTTGTATTCATATCCAAAATCAAATCACAAACATAGATGAGAGATAAATGAACTTAAGTATCGGTTGTAGTGGGGGTGAGAGGTGGTGGGTGGCAGTGGTGGTGGTAAGAGATGGTGATAGTTGTGGTGGATGACAATGACCGTGGTGGTCGTGGNGTGAGAGGTGGTGGGCGACAGTGGTGATGGTTGTGGTGGGTGGTAATGACCGTGGTGACGGCGGCGACGACGATGGTGGTGGCGGTGGCAGTGGCGATGATGGTGACGGCGATGGCAGCAGTGGCGGCGGGGGTGGCGGCGACGGAGAGGGTGGTGGTAAAGGTAGTGATGGGACGGTTTCAAATACTATTTTTTTTTAAAATACATATGAGAAATAATTTATAACAGTACTTTTAAAAAGTCACTCTAAACTAGTATTTTAAATTCCAGCCCGGACATTAACCCTGTAAAGAGACGGGGTCAATGGGTTACTGGTTCAACCGTTGAGTCACTGTTTAAACTGGTTAAATAATAAAAAAATAAAAAATATTTATTAATAATAGAAATTATTCTCAATTCACCCTTTTTTTTTAGGCGAAATATTCTCAATTCACCCTCACAGCATCAATAATCTAGTTTCTCCATAATTGAAAAAAAATTCACTCCACACAAAAAACCTGTTTTTTATTTCCAATTCTAACTTCTCCATTCAAATCCACAAAGATTGACCTGATCAAACACAGGTAGTAATCTCAATATCAATCTACTAAAATGGAACGTCAAAAATAAATCAAATAAAACACAAAGAGGGGATTTCAGATATAGAACAAATCAACACAAAACAAAAAAAAAAGTTCACCAAAGAAAAGTTGCTGGTGATGTTGCTTTCTCCACCATAAAACAATAGTCAGTGAAAGAATTGAAAGTTCAAAATCTAAGATAGACTAGCAATATTTGTTTGTAGGTAATGACAATTGTAATATGACTCGATGAGTAGTGTACCTGCTGAGTGAAGCAAATCGCCAAGGAAGTTAAGCAAATCAACTCCTGTCCTGCCTTTGTTCAACACTTCGACTACGAGAGAGAGGGAGGGGGCTGATTCATTTAACAACTTGACTGAGAAAGAGACTGTTTCTTTCTAGATTGACTGAATGAGAGGCTGACGTTTGACAGTGAAGGTGAGAAAGGGAGGCGGATTGTTTGACGATGAGGGTGAGAGAAAGAAAGAGAAAGAGAGGTTGAGATTCGTCGGACTCAACACTGGAAAGAGAAATAAACATACAGACAATTAGGTTTTGGGAAAAAATGCCCAAAAGGGCTAGTTTTTATACCCTTTAAACTGACTCGCCCGGGTTGTTGTAAATTGTCCAGTAGCGGGTTTTCATCGGGTTGTTTGCTCAAACGATCCAATAGTTTACCCGGCCCGGTTTAGTGACCGGTTTACCGGGTCAACCCGCCAGGCCGAGCCGGATTTTAAAACACTGCTCTAAACACACCCTTAGGGGTCTATTTTTTCTATTAAATTTTGTGTTAATATTAACTATTAGATTAATTTTAAAGTAAAACTTAAAACGATCTGAACCGCGAAAAACAAAAGTCATTTTGTTTATCTTTTAAAATTTGAATTGTAAACTACTTTATTATATAGATATATTAGCAATTGCCCGTGCCGGAAGGCATTATATAACACAATAAAATCACCAGGATAAAAAATTAAATCCACAAAAATTAGCAAACGAAAAAAAATATAAAAAATCATAGCACTCACAAATACTACCATAACATCAAATTGACTATCATGTCAATATTTTCAACCCTATTAAATTCTCACATAATAATTTAATACTCACAACAATGAAAATAAAACATTGCACCTTAAATGGAATTACATTACAATGAAAATTAAAAGCCAAATTATGCTAGATTGATTGGATTAGCGCAACTACCACCTCAAATATTGCCTTGAATTGCTCGGTAATTGTACTCTTGCACTTCGTTTGTCTTAGAGTCCATTACTTTTCAGTCTTGGAGAAATTCAAACAACTTGAATCATGGAAAATGAGCAGGTGGCGATAATGAGAGAGAAAATCAACTAAAATAACCTCTCCTCATGGTCATCCAACCCATCCCTCAATTAGCATGAGAGCAGTGACTTTTGCTGCTTAATTGATGCCCCAAAAAAACCCTTTGGACAGTGAAAACAAACCATGTCTTCATAAAGATATGAGAGGAAATTCTACCAATCCACTCCTTGATTAGTTCTACTTTCAAACAAAAATTATGCGCCTAATATTAAAGATTTGATGAGATTGTGTGCTTGAAAACCTGCTGCCAACTCACTTACCAAAGTGAGCGTAGACTTTCTCCATTGAGGTACCACCAACTCAACTAATAAAACACACACACAAAACTAAAAAAATATAAAGACATGCAAAACAAAACAACTAAGTAGAGAATTTTAGGTTAAATAAATTGGATAGCCTTGAGAAGAATTGAAAGACAAAGACCTCAAAAGAAAGAGAGATAAAAAAGATCATCAGTTCAATTGCATAAATTCACAACCAATCCAACGCATAAACTCATCATTACGAAATTCACAAACCAAATACACCCAAATTTACAAAACAATAAAAAAATTAGATCAAATCAAAACTTTCAGACACATGCTTAATTGGTGGCACTCTCCTCACCACATGCTTCAACATCAAAATCAAGTTTAACTATATTTCTACAACAACTTCAAATAGAATCATCAAAAATCAAGTTGAAGTAATTAAGAAAACCTCAATTATACATTGTACAACCTCGCCAAATTGTTAAGAGTTGCACATATTGAAGTGCACAATAGCCATTATTGTTGGCCTGACATAGAGAAACACCTTTTCTTTGACAAATTTTCACAATTCAAAGAGAAATCTTTTGTCTTCAGACCATCTATATAGCCCCAATCAGCCGATCCAACAGTCCAAGCGTCGAATGCATATCACCAAAACATACCTACATAGGCCATTA